AGTTTTGCTTTACATTTATTTTATGCATAATTCAAGACAACATAGCCCAAATATTTCCTTCATGGAATAGTTCTTGGCATTTCCTTCAGTTACAGGCTTTCAAAAGCGGAGCCAGATATTTCTATTTATTTTTCCTCATGTTTATGTAAAATATTAACTCAAACCTTCACATCTGCTTGGCCATTGTCCCTGACTGCAGTGTTTCTGTGGGCGTTCTCAGAATGAAAGCCATCACCATCTCCACCAATATGTGGGTGGGATTAACTCCCGGACCGTGGTTCCAGGCCCTTCTTATTCCCCCACAAACGACAAGGTATTCCCCTACCCTCCCACACAATTGAAATTCCAAACAGCTATTCATTCTCCCCTTGTGCCAGCTGCTGTATATTTAGTGATTCTAGATGAATCTTTATGATGGCTTAAGAAAAACTTGATTAGTGAGCTAAATAGTCTGTGAATCGCTGGCTGATTTCAAAGTGGAACGGAAAAATGGTGGCAATTAGGCTTCTTGATTTTTCTTTTTGTTCTATAGATAAGAGTTTATTGAATTTTGTGATGTTATCCTTAAAAAGTTAAATGATTAAATGATTAGCTCTTATGAATTCAATTGTAGTGTAGTTACATTGGTCAGAAATCTAATTATATGTTTTTGGTACCAGGTGTTGATGAGTGGTGTTCATTTATCCTAGCAGAAATCCAGTGAAATAGTGAAGAATGACAGGAAAAAAAGTACTTGAGAGAAATATATAAAGAAAATCCACAACTTAAAACTATACAGACACAGCACTTGTCAAGCCATAGTACAACACGTTAAACAAATAGAGGTGATTTTGTGAAAATCTTGCTTGATACAGGTTTTTATTTTTACGATATTTTACAAAACTTTACTGCAAAATCATGAAAGTTGTTCTTGAGGAAGTTTTTGGGAAAGGTAGAAAACCACAGTGGTGTCACCTTACTCAGAGAGTGGTCACAAGGAGCCAGCATGATGACATGGGCATCTAATAGCCACTTCTGGAAGCAGTTACTGGTTGAGGGGAACTGATTATTCATAATCTATGCATTGGTTTCCTAGGACAACTACAATCTACCATAGTGAGCATCTGAATGTGCTTTCATGGTTGTGAAGGCCAGATATCCCAAACCTGGCCCTTAGCAAGGTTGTCCCTGCTGTGGAGCTCATCAGGGGACCTATCTCCTGCTTCTTTCAGCTTTTGTGGGTGACAGGATTCCTTGACTTGTTGCCTCCAACCTCTGCTGAAGGGCGTCATTTACCTTTTCATCTTGTATCTTCTCTCTGTTTCTCTTTCAAAACTGACTGCATTGAGTGCCCACCCAGGTAAACTACTCTCAAGGTATCATATATATTGCCCACGGGTCCCAGAGGTTTGACATTGGATCTTTGGGAGTTCAGCTTTTGGTTGGGGCCATTAGTCATTGGTCCTTAGCCATGCTGTCAGCTGAGAGTTTTAACCATGCCTGTGAGTAGTTTCCTCATTATAAACCCATCTGAGACTGAAGTCTCACTGTGTCCTTAAGTATCAATATGAGGGAAAAGGAAGTGGTCTCAGCAGTGCTCGTGAGATCAGAGCCCTGTGAGTAAGGGTCTGCCGACAGCAGGGTACTCCACAAGCTTTTCCCACAGAGTTACATTTATAGCAGGGATAGCTATAAATAGCTCTTCGAGTAGGTGGTGACTTATAGTAATATCTTTCTAGACAGATCTCTCAGTATTCTTAAATTGTAAGCAAACAGAGCTGCTTAAGGTCCAAATGAGCTCACATCTGAGTTATGAATTTAATCTGAAGTTTAAACATCCCCAAAGGGAGAAAGATGACTGGGATAGTACAATGAGAACATGGAGTTAAGGTAATTTTACTACCTAAAATGGCTTCGTCAATACCATGGCTGGAGGTGACTTACTTTTCTGTTATTAGTATTTTTCTCCCTGACATTTATTCTCTCTCTTTCATATTCTCTCTATCTCTTTATTTTCATGTGTCAAAGGGTTGTTCTACTTTAGTCTGAACTTTCTTTTTAAAGATGGAATTAAGACTCAGCGAATCTACTATTTGCAAACTGAACACTTTTAAAAATTAGAGATTGTGTTATGCGTCTATGTGAGGGTGTCCATGTATACCAAAGGAAGGTGAAAGTTCCCTTGGAGCTGGAGTTACAGGTGGTTGTGAGCCACCTGACTCGGATGCTGAGAACCTAACTCAGATCCTCCAAGCCATGTCTCCGTCAGCCCCTTTCTTTATCTTGTTTACAGCATATTCATCTGTAAAATGAGAAACTGTAAATGCGAATCTCAGAGGATAATATGCCAATGAAATGAATTAATACACAGAAAGTATACCTCAATGTATCCTCACATAAATCTTATAGTTATTTTCATATTGCATGTCCATACTGTCTGGTCATAAGCATTCAGTTTAGTGTTTGGTTATATGAATGTATACTTTTTAATGTGTAGGTATTTTTCTTCTTACCAGACTATTTGGTATTTAGCAGACTGTCTATGTGCTGCATTTATCTGGTTCCCGATTTCTCATTTCTAGGCCAACAGCAATGGCTTAGCTAGGTAAGAGATAAGAAGCCACTGTGCTGTGTGAAGCTAGGGCACTTGTTTGTTGCAAGTAGCAATGTACAAAAGAATTTTTCAAGGGGATTGTGGAATGTGTCAAAATGACCATTTCCTGGCCTCATCCCCATAAGTGGCACAAACCCAAGAATCTGTATTTTAAGATGAAATTGAATAATATGTTTTCAATTAGTATAGCTTCCAGATCTCATCAGTAATGTTTCTTTGTGCAGTGGATTGTGGTTAACAGAAATTCACAACTGGTCATGACAGAATCCCTGTGCTCACAATGCCCAGCCGCTGTTTTCCTGCACAGGTCTGGACAACATGAAGTCAATTAATGTGTTCAAGCATGGAGGGGACAGGGGTTCAGGAGTCTATGAGTCCTACATCTAAGAGAGGAGCTATGGATAGTTGATGATTTCTTGGGGAGAGTCAGTTTTTATGAGTGTGACCCTGAGAGGTTAACCACACTCTTGTGAATGCCCAAATCCATGAGTATATGGGCAGCACAAACTGGACTCAGTGGGTTATAGAAAGAAAAAGATGTGAAGTTGGGAGGTGGGTTGGAGATCTGGATAGAGTTAGGGGAAGGGATTGGGGGTGAATATGATCCTATGAAAGTCTACAGAATTTGATGAAATGTTGATACTTAATATGACTTACTAGTTGTGCTTATTTTATTTAAAAAATACTTTAAAACTAAAGAGAGAAAAAAAAAGACAAAATTTGTGACTTGATATTTAAAGGTCTTGGCATGAAGCCCTTTTGTTTTTAAAAACATACATGTTTAAAAACCATTTGGGTATAACGTGCCTTGTCTTTTTATATGGCACATTTTTTTTTAATAGAAGTCTGTTAGTCTGACTCATTTCTTGTATGTGGATACTAATGATAGCAAAAGGTGTGAATTCACCTCATTCACGCTGTACAGATACAAAGCCCATTCCTTGCCTGTAGTGTCCTTATGTGTGCCTCCTGTCTATCTAATTTGATGTTTTCTTGGGACTTTTTATTGGGTTTTAAAATGCAGTTGTTTTCTTGTTTGGAACTGTGGCTGAGCAATCCTCATCGCTTACTCATGGAAACTGTTCATTTTGAGTAGACTCGGAAACACCCCAGCCCACTCTCTAGTCCCCTCTCAGTCTGGTAACAGTATTTTTAACACACCCTCCAGATGCTTCTGACAGATACCCTGAAAAATACTGAATGGGGATCAGACAGCCCAGCTGTGGAGATTTCGCTGTATAAACTAAGCCCTGAGTGTCACTTATGTCATAGGAATCTGCTATTGGAGCAGTGTTGAAGGTGGTATCAACAATGTCATCAGGTGTTCTGGAGGAAGCATTACCCAGGTGTGCCCAGCTCTAAGTGCTGGATGTGACAGCTCTGTTTATTCCTGGTCATCTACATATGCCCAGCATTGGAAGTATTATATTAGCAGAATGCATGGAATTACCTTTTCATGTTAGCCAAACACTGTTGCCATTCTTTGGTCACTTTTTGAGACCTGAGTACAACTCATCAGACATAGAGTAGGGCTACAAGTACAGATGTGATTGACAGATAGGAATGAAGTTCAACACATCTACTGAGATTTTCAGAGAGGATTTGTTATAAATCTCATCTGTCCGATGTAGAATGTGACATGTATGAAAGGTCAGCATTGTACCCTCAAGCCCTGAACCCTTCTCAACCAGTGACTGGGAGATGTGTAAAAGTCTGGACATACTCTGTTTCTACTGCCACTAGCTGAAGCTGTCAGCTAATTAGACCACACAGCCCTGAAAACATTGCCAGATGTAAATGAATATGCTTTGAGGTGACGAATAGTTGGGCATTTTTACATTGTGAGGAGCCCATTTTGGTTGCTTCATTTCTTGTTGGATTCAGAGACTTCCTAGGGATTACATACATGGATACCCCTGGCAGGCAAATGTGCCCTATCTATTCACATTCCTTCCAGAGGGCTGGCATGTATGGACCGTTATTTACGTAACACGAAGGGGTAACACATTCTGTTTCCAGGATCATATGATCAAAAGCAGATGAATAGCAATACACATAATATTCCAAAGGCAAAACAAACAAACAAAAAGCATTGTAAAATAGAGGACAATGAGGATTGTATAGAGAATAAGAGTTCTGGCACAAACCTTGATGCCACTAACCAAGTACAGTTACTATTACATTGGTTTGCCCCACAAGAAAAGATTGTCCTTGCAGGGGGGAATACAAATGTCGAAGTATCTTAAGTAAAGGAAGGGCTCTCTCTTAAGGAAAATCAGAGCCAGGAGACAGGAGAGGAGAGGAGGGGACAGGAGGGGAGAGGACAGAAGAGGAGAGGAGAGGAGAGAGGGCACTTAACAGAGCCTTCAGACCTGCAGGACTTCAGGTGGATTGAGTCAGGACTTACATTGAGTCTGGAGTTATTTGTCTGCCTGGATCGTTTTTCGGCCAGGAGGTCTTTGACAGTGTGCTTCACTCTCACGCCCTGGTACACACGTTTGCTGTAATCCCCTGAGACTTAAGCAAATGGAAATGTCATGATCAGGTATAGATGGGGTTATCAGATCTACTTGCCAAAGCTGAAGGTCATGATGCTGTTTTCTCTTTAGACAGAGAGAAATCTCAAATTTGAAGTAGGTTCAAATGAGTCCCATTTCCCGCTGCCTGGTGAAAATGTATCTAGACTCCATGTAGGTGGAAGAGACACTCCTCTGTCTCTTACACTGTGGCTCTTCAAAGTGACCTCTTGTTTCACCTCTGCCATGTCAAGATTCACTCCAGTGAAATTTTCAATTTATGCTTTGGGTAAAAGATCAAGGATTGGATGAACTTGGAGTAATGCCTCTTACTACACCGGAAGAAGTTAAATATGCATGACCCAGGTTACTGTATTCTGACACTTGCCTGTCACTATGGGGATGAGTGACAGAAGGCCAAGTAGGTTGTTTGAGGATTATGTTCCAGACATGAAGTCATCTGTGTTCTCTTTACTACACTAAATGTTTTATCTAGAAAGTCTGATGATTGGCTATAAGGAATTACTGCTAAAACCTATGCCAGTGGAGGTTGTGGAAATGGCTTAGTTGGTGAAGCACTTGCTGTACAAGCATGAGACCTGAGTTTGGCGGCCAGGGTAACATTAAAAGCCAGGTATGGAGATGTGTGCCTGTGGTCTCAGCATTGGGGAAGCTGAGACAGGAAGATCTTTTAGCCTTTCTAGCTGAGTCAGTGAGCTCCAGTTTCAGTGAGAGACCCTGCTTTAAAAAGCTATGTAGAGAATGGTGGAGGAAGATATCCCATGGTGACCTCTGGCCTCCACCCACACATGCATGTACCCTACACACACAGGCTCTCTCTCTCTCTCTCTCTCTCTCTCTCTCTCTCTCTCTCTCTCTCAAAATAAGACCATGCCAGGGATAAGGGAGAATTATTGATTTAGTTAGCATAGTTTTGAGCACTTACTCTGTGAATTTGTTGAAGATAATATAGTGCTTGTAAATTTGCATGCATTATTTAATTTGATCTATTTTATTTGGCTAAGTTATTTGCCAAAGTCTCAACTAATAGCAGTATTAGACTCTGGGCAGTTCATGGTACTAACAACTGGGAAAAATTTTTTTCACCAATAACTGACAGATAGATGGATTTATAGAGAAATGTCTCCCCAGGGTTTTGAAGTTGGCTAGCATTGCCTTTAGCAATTGTAGATTTGTGAATCAAGATGGTCAAGTAATTCAAGTAATTACTTGAGACTCTTCTATTTGGACCACTCTGAAGGTGTGTTCAAGCACCCAATTAATGGTTGAACAAGACACAGTTTAAAGTATTTTTTTTTTAGCTTGAAATTGCTGTAGTAGAGTGGGTGGGTCATATCCACGTTAGCTGAAGTGTTGCTGGCTTATAAGCAAATTGATCTAGGGGCAGACTGAGTATCTGTGGAAACGACAGAACAAATGCTTACATGTCTGAGAATATGGATGACTCTAATATGCTTGAGTTTGTAAAAAATCTAGAGTGTATCTGACACACAAATCAATTTGTATTACATTATTACATTAAGAGTGGGATGAAGGAGAGAGAGACAGATACAGAGAGAGAGACAGACAGAGAGAGAGAGACAGACAGAGAGAGAGAGAGTAGTCATAGTCCAGGCAAGGTAAAGGTAAAGGAGATTGCTGGTTTAAGCATCAGGATTTGCATAGCCACACATTAATTACTGGTGTGGAAAAATGACAATCCTTTAGTCCCTTTTCTTCATGTGTGAAATGATTATGATTTCCTCTTAGCTGTCTTCAGGGATTTATAAGGAAAAATAACATATACATTTGAAAACGCTTTGAAACTGCTTAGTTTCATAAAAACATCCTATGCAGATAGAGTGGGAAAACAAAAGTATCTTTCAAAAGAATGAGTCACCTAACTCAAATAAAACCACACACAGCCTGGTTTCAACAAAGTAGGATTACTGCAATGGTCCTTTTTGTCAAATTTTGACAGGATTTGGTCTATATATTTTTGATTAAAGTGGATTAAAGAACTTCTTTCTAGTCATTGCCTAATATAAGGCACGAGATTTGATCTAGAATAGGTTAGGCTATATTTATTAGTTTTTTTTTTAATCTGATATTTTCTGTGTGTCAGTAGAATACAAGAGAGCATACTGTTTGGTGCAGGAGGAAATACCTTAAAATAGTTATAAAGGAAATGTTCCAGGTACAACAATAGAAATCTGTCTGAATATTTAGAGAAATACTGGCTGTTTTATGTCCTTTTGGAGACAGGGTGGGTAGGAGTCAGGAAAGGCAGGATGAGTGGAGGCTTAAAGAACATTCCAGGTGTAGAGGGCAGGGCAGGCAAAGGTCTGGGGACGAGAACAGAATGAGTGAGAGGGGAAGTGGCCGGAAGGGAGATTGGGGAAATGAATAGCATTCAACCGTGATGTTCTAGGACTTCATCTTGTCAGTAAGAAGCTCTTAAGCAAGGGCAGGTATGCTTCAATTTGCATTTTACATAGACTCTTCAGACAACAGCATGGAGAGTGGATTTGAGAACCACAAAGCCACAGGGAGATCAGTTTGGAGAATTCTAGAGTAACTGAGACAAGAGGTCATGGGACAGGTAGGAGGAGGGCCAGGAGCAGATGTGAAAATCACTTAGATGTAAGAGATTATTGAGGGGAAGATTAAAAGGAAATTTCAATGTTTTCCACCATTGCTCCAGGATATAGTGTTAGAGCTATCATGATATTGATGACAAACCAGGAAAGGGGAAGTAATCCCTTAAGGGAATGTTTGACAGGATTACATGTTGACACATGTAGGTAGTCATCATTTGCATCTGGCACACTGGGATAAACAGGTCAGGATACTCTAAAGGGCTGAGACAATTCTATAGAAATCCTTATGGTACTGATTGTGTGTGTGTGTGTGTGTGTGTGTGTGTGTGTGTGTGTGTGTGTGTAGTGTAATTATTGGCATATATTCATTATACTTATTGTGTATTATATAATTATCTAGTATCCACTAATGAGAGAGATATACATTTGCCTTTCTGTACCTGACTTGCTTTCCTAATATTATGTTCTCCATTTGTATGCATTTTGCTGCAAATACCATAATTTCATTTTTCTTTATGTATAAATAAAACAATATGTGTATCATTATATCCTGACACAGAGGGTGGAGGTTTTGGAGCAGAGGATGAATGACAGAAGCCAGCTTGCATTCACATTTGAAGAAACTTCAGGGGATGGAGGGAAGACTTTACAAAGAAGATGCAGAAGATAAATAGGAAAAGAACCAGTGTGAACTGGGGAAACCACGTCATCAAGAACTTAAGGGGAGACATTTCAAGAAAGAATGAAAAACTTTGATATGGTAGGATGAAGATGAGGACAGAAGAACATCCTTTGTTTTCAGTTCAGTGGCTAATATGGTCCTTAGCAAAAAGACTCTGGAAATGTGGGGGTGCCTAGAAGTCAAATGAAGATGTCAAGGGAGGGATGGAGCCAGAGATGGGGCCTAATCATTCTTGAAATTTGAAGAGAATGGGTAGCAAGGGATTGGATGATGACCACAGAGAAGTTCAGCATCAAGGAGTGGTTTGCTTGGGTTTTCCTGTCTATGTATGTGTTTGGAGATAGCAAAGAGTTAAGAATATGTGAATATGAAGAAAAGAGTAAAGTTTTTGAAAGCAGTAGGAAATGCTATAAAGCCAGTCTTGAAGAAGAAATAAAAGCATGTTAGTCCTTACCCTCTCAGAAGAGAATAAAAAAGGGTCATGAGGGAGGGGTGATTAAGACAATCACAATATGCACAAAAAGTAATTCCAAGGGGGAAGGTTAATGGTGCTCTTGATGGTTGGAACAAAGCAGGGGTCACAGCCAGGTAGACACATCAAGTTGAGGATGCACAACTGTGATTCTCACCTGGATCTTTAGCATCAGCAGCCAGGAGCTTGTGAGAGATGCACATTCCCAGGCCCTTCTCTAGAGCACCGAGCCAGAAACTCTAGGGATGTGGTCCAGCTCTCTAAGTGACCCTGATTTCCCCAGAAGTTCCAAAATCTTGACCAAAAACAGCAGGAAGGGGTTAATGATGCTCCTGTGTCTGGTGGGATGTATATGTGTTGGAGAGGCAGCTCTAACCTTAGCAGTCATGCTGAGCAATGAGAGGGCATTCTGCAAGGTGGGAGGAACAGACTCAGGCCTGGGAAGGAAGAGAAGGTAGAGGAGAAGAGGTCTGGGCTGGATTTCCCATGTGTTTGCAGACACAAATGACATTGCTTTTCTCTGAAGGAACTTTAAATTGATTAGTTGAATCTGAACTATCAATTTATGTCTTAAGTTTATGCCAAAAATCCTGTGGCAAACATGCCTTTTGTAAATATTTTAAATAATAATCATATGATAGTTGACAGATGAATAAAGTTCAAAAGACAGAAAATAACCATATCAAAACTTTGGAAGTTTTGTCATCAAACAACTAGGCGTATGTAACTATTGGACTTGAGTCAGTGTGAAGTATGGGGTTGTATGCCACAGGGGATGTTAAATAAGTTTCAAACACATATCAGAATCCAATTTTAATGAGATAGATAAATGAAATATTTCCATGTGAGAGGGAGTAGAGTAGAGTGCTCTTTGGATGTCTAAGCAAAGTTTTGTAGGGGGACATGAGGCTTGGAGTGTAATTAGAAGGATGCCAAGATACATTAGGAGGAGAAAGACCTTGTGGTTAGTAAACATGCCTAGACAGAAGTGAAGAGGCAAGAAGGAGCCATGCTTGTGTAGAAGGGGTCAAGCATTAGTGTAGTTTTACTTTATAACTAGTTAGTTAAATGACCTGTATATACAGTGTATGTGCATGTGTGGATGCATGCGCAGAATCTACAGGGGCATGTCTGGTTCCCTGCTCTGTCATTCCCTTATTGCGTTGAGACAGGGTCTCTCACTAGTCTGAACCCAGTAATCCTCCTGCATCTGCCCATCACCATGCTAGAGTTACCATGCATTCAGAAGGGCCATTTCTTGCTTTTTATGTGGGTAATAGGGACTCAAACTCATATTTCCATCTTGCATGGCAAGGTCTCATAGTTGTTGCAGTTAAATGGGTCGGTATGTAGATGAGCTTCAAACACACATCCCTGGATCTGACCTGTGCTTTAGTTTTGGATAGCCATTTCCAGCAGACACTTCAATCTGCACATGTCCAAGTGGAAACTGTCTCCTTCCTATTTACCCAAACGCTTCCTTGTCTTAGTTGATGGCCACACCCACCTCCTAGCCCTTCTTTCTCAAAGCTACACAGCCAACCCTGTCTCTCCTTTCTCTCTGTCTCCCCTTTCTCTCACAATTCACAAGCTGTAGTTTAGAATACAAGAGAATGCTATGCACAGAATAGGTCTAGAGTCTCCTGGCTCTTCCTCTCCAGAGGAAATACTGTCCTTTCATGAAGATTATTCTAGTAGTCTTCTAATAAAGTGGTTCTCAACCTGAAGATCATTCCCTTTCGGGGTCGAAGGACACTTTCACAGGGGTCGCATAGCAGATATCCTAAATATCAGACATTCACAGTATGATTCAGAACAGTAGCAAAATCATAATAATGAAGTAACAACGAGAACAAGGAGCTGTATGAAAGGGTGGCAGCATCAGGCAGGTTGAGAAGCTCTGCTTAATGGGTTTGCTCTTTCCATCTTTCATCCCTGCCTGCCCTAGTCTATCCTCACAGCAGATGGGCCCACAGAGCTGGGTTGGCAGGGGGGTGGGCAGGGGCTTTAAAAGTCTAGCTCCGTCATTTCTGTGCTCAGAGCCCCAGTGCTTCCTTATTTCACTTAGTAAAAGCTAAGCAGCAGTCTTAGACGACCCTGTTCCCTGTCCTCTGTGCTCTTCTCCTAAGACGCCCCCTCTCTGTACTCTAGGGCGGCTCTAAAATGGATCAAGAATGCCTTTGCCTGAGATACTGCTGCCTCTGAGCTGGAATGTTCTTCTGTCCTTTGTCCTTTACCCCTGTGACTGAAGGCCCTGCTTCCTCTGTCCTTTATCCCTTACCCCTGTGACTGACAGCCTTGTCTTCCTCTGTCCTTTATCCCTTACCCCTGCCACTAACAGGCCTGTCTTCCTTAGAGTCCCGGTGTAAAGTCATCTCCACAAGAACATTTTAAATCGCTATGACACAGCCCAGATTCTTCTCCTGTACTTTGATTTCTGTTTAGGACCCACCATTTTATAAAGCCCCATAGAGTTTCCTATTTAGTTTTGTTTTCTGTTCCTTCTGAGAAGAGGTTATCTCATTACAACACCCCGATGCGATGCATGTGTCTGGGACACACAAGTCTTCTAGGTAAACATCTGATGAAAAGCCTTTTTAAAAAATTTTTATCTTTGCTGTTAATAGTAATGAAAATGCTGAAGTAATAAAGTAACTGTCTATAGGAATTTATTTTCCTGGGCTGGTGAAATGGCTCAGTGCATGAATGTGCTTGCTACCAAGCCTAACAAACCAAGTTCAACCCCCAGGTCCCACATAGTAGAACAGAATAGACTCCTACAAGTTGTCTTCTACCTCCAGATGAATGGAGCACTGTGTCCTGTTCCCCTCAACATACCCACACATGCACATAAATAAATATAATTAAACATTAAAAATACATAAAAAGAAATATATATTGTTGTGCATTGTTTAGTGATGGCAATATTCTGTGACAAAGAATTGTTGGCACTCAAAACCCTTGCACAAGCATCACAGGATGTACTTTTGCAAGTTAAGGTGGCTATGATGTCATTAGGTGACTTAATGTTATTAGACAACTGTCTTCTAGGCGTTCAGAAATTGACCGAAGCATTATTACAGTGCACACTTGATATCAAAGATGAAAGAGGCCACTAAAACATTTAACAGGGAATTATAACCTTTGTCATAGTTTTGGAAGATTTGAAAAATATTTGAAAGATTAATGTGACAGTAAATCATGCAACAGGTTTAGTAGGAGGATATAGAGGGGGTGGGAAATTATAAAATGGAAACGAGCATGAAGAAGAAGAAATGACTAGAAAGGACAGATTTAAGAGGCCCTTCTTTCAAAGTGGCATGCACATGCAAACACATATGTGCACACACATACATGCACACATACATAACACACACATACACATAAACACACAGAAACAATGGACTGTGAAGATTTGGATAGAGAAAGGACATTTTGAATATATTGACTTTGGAGTTGTGGGAATATAATCAACTAAAAAAGTTAAAGTTTCCCATAGATAAAACAAGAATTTAGACCTGGGTTAGCACTGTGTATCTTTAAAACTATTATAATTAGAGCTATGAAAGTAACACTCTAGAACAATTTACAATGAGATATTTAATCACAGATGCTTAGGGTAATAAATGGTCCATGGGAGGACCACTGTGGGAAGAATCTAGAAAGACAGAACAGTAGTGTTGGACCAGGTTGGAAGTGCCAGGGAGGTGAAGGGAGGAGGGAGCCTACAATTTCAAGCCAGCCTTGATTTCAAGCTTCAATTTCAAGGATACTAGCAATTTCAAGTACCTGGTACCTAGTAGGTGTTAATAAATGTGATATGTGTGTGTGTGTGTATGTGTGTACATACACACACACATACACACACACATATGCTGACTCTTACAAGTTGTTTAGATATTTATATTTCTGTATCATCTATCTATAGATGATGTCTATCCATCCATCTATCTATCCATCCATCATCTATCTATCTCAATAGCACTTTAGAGAAGTTGGGGGAGATGAACTTGGGCCATCAGGATTGGGAAGGTCCTTAGAACTTGGGCGTCATTTCACAGGAGGTGGCAGTGAAGCCTTTAGTTTTGGTATCACAGGAGCTGTAAGGAAATGAAAGCTGCGTAACCCAGTTCTGTAGCAGCAGCGTGGGGATGCTAGAATCTACTTTGACAACAGCCAGGTGGGTGCATGAAAATAAATCATATCAAATCAACGGAGCTTAAAAGTCCCACCTGGAATAGTTTTCTTCCTGTGGAAGAGTCTTTATTCCTAGTTGTGGACAGAATGGTATTTAGGGCTCACAAGTGTTCCTGGAGTTTTCACTACTAGACATTTGACCCTCTCCATGCTCTGCGTCTATCTAAAGAGTCCACACCTGCATCAGCAAGGAGGGCTGGAGAGTTTTTTATTCAAATACTCTAGATACAAACTTCCATTCAGACCAGTTGTTGAGAAAACAGAGATGAGTGTTTCCAGAGCACAAGCACACATGAATCAATTTATCCTTTAGAATCGGGAAAGGAGTTGGCACGGCTGGGCTATGATTATGTATATGTAGCCAAATGTGTCTGTCACACTGTCTCCTAGTCCTCTTTTCTTTGGAGAATTTGATCCGCAGTAGACTTAATGGTGCCGTTGTTTCCATTTGTTTTTGAAAATTACTTACTCCATCAAACCAAAGTCATATATTCTAAAAAATTGATTTAATACTTAAAGTGCTGGTGACCCTCCCCAAAACATATTTTAGTTATGCTAAATATGCACATATTTGAAACACATCCTTATTTCAGTGTTTTAATGACTTTTTTGAGGTATATTTTCTTGATTTTACATTTTTATTTTGCAGAGGCTAAGGAGGGGCTTGTGACATAAAGAAAGAGAATGAAAGAAACAGAACAAATCAGAACAATTTCAGGAAAGTAGTTACAGTTTGAGTTATGGAACTGGACAACAGAACAATGAAATCAGTAGGCACAGTGTCTGAATTACAGTCCCTCATGACACTCTGTGTAGGCCCCCATCACTCAGAACAGTCAGAGTAGAAATACTGAATGGGGGGTGGGCTTGATGGAGGGCCTGTGTGCTTGTTCCAGAGTCTGCCTGTCAGTGAGGCAAAAATGAGGTCCCAGACAGCACAGCTGTAATACAGTGTGCTTAGTCTGGTCTGTGTGCATTAATTCTCAGCCCCCCCTACCCATCTCCTCATCCCATTCTCCTGGCTCTAGCTGCCTCACTGAGGAGAAGGGAGATACCCCCTCTTAGAACCATTGGGCTTCTTGCTGCACATCTGTTAGAAGCTCACTGTGTGGCTCTGCTTCTGATCGGGGGAGATGAGGGGCCAGGAGACCACCAGACATGAACAGTCTCCAAGCTCATCAAGTTCAGAAAGGTTTTCATTAATAATCAGAAAATGATGCCCATTGCTCAAGACAACATCATAAACTCAAGATAAAGATGGAGCATTTTAAGCAGGAATAGTGAAATTATTGAACTTATTTTAGGATTGCATTGAAGTCATTTCATCACACCGTGGCTACCCACAACCTCTCTCACCTCCTGCCTCTTGCCTGCTAGTCCCCACAGGGGAAGCCCCAAGGCCATGCTGCACCAGGCAGGTGCTCAGACAGTTCCATCCCACTCCTTACATTTGGGGATCAGACTTTAAAGAGCTCCATCACCTAAAATGTACCAAGTTATTGTTCAAAGTACTTTATAAAGAATTTTGAAGTATTTCTTCTGTCATTTATTAACATTTATGAGGATTATTGACACGTCAAATTTGTTCCTGATTGAGTGGGTTCTACTCTGTGCCAACACTGACACATGTCACTTCAGGATGAACAAACTAGGAAAGAGCTATATGTAGTCTGAATTGTGAAATGACACTCAAGCCTCTTCCTTGTTATACATTAAGAGAATAACCTTGGCCGTTAACCCAAAGAGCCTGAAGGCAGGTACCAAGAGATGTTTCATGCTCTGTACACATGTGGGTTTTCCTGTCCTTTTACACAAGGGCTTCCCAGAAAGTACTACATTCAAACCAAGTCCCACTATGCTGAGAAAAAAATGTGCTAGTATTTAGATCTTCATTTTATGGTAATTCTATTCATTTGAGTAGATTTCCTGCTCTGAATGACTACCTATTTAAACTCAATGCAGCAAATCAAATCTAAGAGCAATACATTGTGACTAGAGTTATAAAAATATTACTAATAGTTGGCTATAGCCTTTGTTCTTATATTTGTCTAGCCAAAGACAGTGCTATGACATTTTATGTTTGATGAAGTTAAGATTGAAGTTGGCACTACGAATTAGGATTTCTAAAGATAGTTTTTATTGTAATTATCAACTCACCGCTGTCCATCTTGGATGGTGCTGTGGTGCCAGGCCTCTGATAAATGTCCTTAGAGAGGGGCCCTGATCTCTGGTCCTGATGGGGAGCCTTCTGCACATGGAGTGATGCTTCTGACATGACTTGCTTCAGATTTGATTAAATGCAAATCCTTTGGTGTATGTTTCTCTCCAATTTGCATCCCCAATGCAGATTATATATGAAGGTACTTTTTTCCCTCTCTGAGGATTTTTATTCAGTAACAATGAGTTTCCATTAGGAAACAACTCTCTTAAATGTTTGTTATGGAAACAATGCAGCTATTATTTGCTTCATGAACAGCAGCGGTGTTTTCCCAACCCTTAAATTAGGGTTTGGCTTTTGAAAATAGTGTGTTGTATGTAAAGGTCCATTCCGTCCAGTTGGTACTGTATTTGTATTACATAGACTGCTTAGGTTTTTAAAAAGTTGGACACTTTTTTTTAAACATAATTAGAATCTTAGGAAGGTTATTTTCATTTGTAAACAAAATATCCCAGCATTTAAACACATGTAGAGCTTTCTAGATGCATGGCAGCAAGGGCTGGACAATCAGACACAAAAGTGGAGTTGCTTTTAATGAAGTTGGATGATAAAGTAATTCACCAAACTACAAAAACAGCTTAACTTTTTTCAATGAAAAAAATGGGCAAAGTGGGAAAAATACATTTAAAAAAGCTGCTAATATGTAATGCATTTGTTATTGTTAATTTAAATGAAAGTCAGCAATTCTTAGTTTTCACTTTAATACTGTAAGTCTATGTGGAAATATAGAAATGGTTCATATTTAAGACTACCCACAGGGCCATAGACACTTTGTAAGAGAGTTAAGGGGTCCCAAGAACATAAGAATTTAGATCTGTTCTGCCGGATGGACTACTGTATATTAAAAGAACTTCTGGAATTGCCTGACACACAAATTTGCCTACTCCATCTCTGTGCTGAGTTTTCTGGCGGAATAACACCACTTGTGATTTCTGGATGTCTAGGAGAAAACCAAAAAGG